GCAGCTCCTGTGGCCTGAGGAGACAGAGACAGTGACAGCATCAGGAAACAACACTTAACTGGATCATCTGTGACTCTGGAAAAATACACAAGGGAGACTGTAGGTTTCTATCCTCATGTGTAGACAGGCCCCAGAGTTACAGGGACATTTTCCTGTCCTGACATTTTACAGTAGAATTAAATATATATGGTTTTAAATATATTTAAGCTAAAAGTCGAAGCTTTACCTCAGGACGACAACAGCCGACGTCCATCACTGCTCCTCACAGCCGGCCGCTGTAAAAGCTTCTGCTTCCTGATTCTGGAACATGTACTTTCAAAGAAAAATAAAATTGAGTTGTCACCATATTATTAAAAAAACATTTCTGGTGGACAAAGAACTGCGATGGTCTAAATCAGGGCTCACCTGGTTGGACAACTATGGACAACTGATTCTTTTTTTAGGTCACACATCATTTAACGAAACCCCGAGTTTTCATTATCGGAGTAAAAAAACAATAATGATTCCTCCAGATATTAGATAATTATGTTAATATCATAATAACACTGTGTTTGTGTTCATTAATTTAACTCCTGAGAAACTGTTAGAGACCGGATTAACGCATATGTAAACATATAAATATGACATCACTTACAATAAATAAACTATATTGAAATGTTGCTGCTAAAAAAAAAAAAGGAGAAAGTATACGAGTGAGTAATAAATATAACTATATTTAAATGTTGCTGCTAAAAAAAAGGAGAAAGTATACGAGTGAGTAGTACACTGTAGTACTCGGAGGAGTACTCGCTGTACTGTAAATAACTCACTGGTCGGAGGTTGGACTCCATCTCCGTGAAGCTCCACTCAGGCAGAGGCAGGCTCAAACTGAAGGGCTGCCACGAAAGGAAAGAACTTTTTTATTATTATATTACGAGTGTGGCAAAACCACAGGCTCACGTCCCTGTGAGTGTTCACACTTCACACGTGTCGAGGTCTGTGACACTCACATCCATCCCAGCGCTGCTTCCAGCCTCCACCGTGTTCTGCTGATGACTCCTGAGCAGCAGCAGCTGCTGGAGGTCCTCCAGACTCATGTCCATGTCCTCCACCCTGTCCACACCAACATGGGGCTCAAATAAGTACAACTGGCTGTGATCGCTTCAACACTTATTATATATATTATAATCAGGTGAGAAAATAGCCTTATTATTTTTCCAGTCAGTCAGAAACAAATTATTGACCTTTGAACAAACGTGGTGCATCAAAGGTCATCACTGAACCAAATTTCATATGTGACCTTTTCAGTGAACCTTATTTAACGTCAATTGTCTATGCTTAAAATTTGGTGGTTCTTAAACTGAGGTATGTACAGGGGCTCCCTCTAGTGGTAAACAGAGGAATCAAATTCCCATTATAGATTTGTGTGTGTATGCGTTTTTTTTAAATCCTGTGGTACAACTTCAAACTGTAGTATTACTCTACTGCGCAGTGTTTTAGGTGTATGAATATGCTGTCGTCGCAGTCAGAGATCATCGTGTTACTGTTGGTCATACTGTGTTTTGGTTTCTCACACACCTGTCCAGAGGAATCCTCTTACTCCTCCTCTCCGCCGCAGAGCTCCGCCCCTCCAACACGGACTGGACCATAGCCACAGGGAGGACGGGCGGTTCCTCACAGGTGGGTGCGTTCACCACCGCACCTTCTCCTCCCTCTGCACCGCCTCCCTTTCCTACTCCCCCTCTCACCCCTGGGCTCACAGGCTCTTCTTTGATGAGCATTAGGCCTTTGTCTCTGTTAGTGGAGTCCAAGAGTTACACAATTATATATAT